CCATGAGAAACTTGATCTTCTTCTTGAGGATGACTGGTTGAACCATGCATTTGAATACACCTTGATTGATGATCCGTTTGCTGTGCGCAGCATCGAGTTCACGCTCAACGATGGAATCCTCACCGTCGTAGAAGGAAACTTCTTCCACCCGAGACGTTCCTGGGATTCGTACGAATGAAACTCGATCTCCGCATTGATCATCATCGTCGTCAACCATGTCTCTCATGATCTGTGCCCTCAATCTCGCTTTGTGCTTGGCGAATTCCAAATTCACGGCGCGATCCTCATTGTTGACAAGCGCTTCCATGTCGACGTACTTCACCTTCCGCTCCTTGTCCTTCTTCGATCTTCTAGGACACGAAGAAATGAACTTCACGTCATCGGCGAATGTCACATTACGCTTGATCTCTTTTCGGGTCGACGTAGTCGGTCCCGAGGATTCGTCGTCTGTTGAACAATCCGAATCAGCGTCGCTGTCAACGGATGGACAATCTGACTCCTCCTCATCTTGTCTTGAAGATCGCTTCCATATAGCCGGGGCTGATGGATTCCACCTTCGGCACAATCTGATGGCGGGTGCCGCAGGGAGCGCCTTGGCCTTGGCATTCGGCTTCGCTGGAGCTGCCTTTGCTTCGGATTTGGCTTTAGCTTTTGCCTTTGGTTCCGGAGCTGGGGTAGCTGCTGCCTCATGCTTGAAAGGACAATTCTCTCTTGAGCACGAGCCTGTGTTCTTGAACGAGTAGCATATCCTATTTCCTCCTCCTCCAGACGGACTTGGAGTTCTCGTCCTCGGCGTAAAGGGTCGCTCTGGAGTCTTCTTCGAGTGACTGAATGGGCACTTGTCACCATTTCGACACCCTGCATCTGTGAAATGGAACTTGCAGCGGATTTGCTTCTTGCTCTTGTCGCCTCTGTTGTCCGCTGACTCACTCCTCGTCTTCTTCTTGGGCTTTGGCTTGGTCTTCGCATGACTCTTCGCTTTGCTTTGAGGTAGTACAGGTGTTGCTTTATCCGGCTTGGTCGGCGAAGCCTTGACCTTTGCGGATGGAGCTGCGTTAGGCGTTGGTTTCTCAGGTACCTTGGCCGGTGCAGCGAGCAAATCCTTGCCCTCAAGCATCTGGCGCAAGCCAATTTGGGTCTGAGTGAGATTTGATTGTTCTCGTCTCCGCATGATGGTACGGTCGATGATCTTCATCAAATTGTCGTACGATCGGTCTTCATGATTGTAGGGCAAGTGTTCGTAGTGCATGCCCAACTCCATCTTCATTGCGGGCGAGTCCTTGATCTTGCTGTACAAGCAATCACGGAGAGCTGTTTTGGATGGTATGTCTTCTGGCCTCATCCGTCCCAGAACTTCCAACCACGTCTGCTTGAACGTATGAAGTTTGTTGTCGCCTTGGTACTGGAGCTTCACCAGATACTCGAGAGTGATGATCATGTCGAGACGATCGTGCGTTCGAAAACTTTCATACATCATCGCAATGATTTGTCGTCCTTTGATGATCTTCCCTTCGGGCCTGCTGATGTAATCGTTGGCCTTCCGGTTCACCTCCAGGTACAGATCAGCAGATTTGTCACCACCAGCGCGTAGCATTGCGACCATGGCGATCCCCAATTTGACGTCTACGCTCTTGAACTTCTTGTGTCCTGAATCGTTCAGTGCTTCGACATCAGGGAATGGGTTGAACGCTGGTGCCAGCCATAACATCCAGTCCTCATGATTTGGGTCGGCTGACGCTCCTAAAACATTGGCCGTGCATACGGATCGCCAGTTGTTGAGGTGAGTGAGAGTAGGCCATGGAGGAACGGTCACTTTATCGGCCTCCCTCCTGGAAATTCTCACCTCTGTGACTTCAGGATCTGCGTCTCCATCAGGATCACGCGCATGAGGGTCAGGATCCGGGTCAGGTTTGCCTCCACCGCTTCTCTTCTTATCATCATCGTCATCATCAGGCGGATCTGGAGGATCATACCCCGTGCCGGTTCCTTCATCATGCTCTCCCTCTCCGTTCTCGTCGCCAGCTTCATCACCGTCATCGTCTCCATTGTCTTCCTGAATCGTTTCAGCAAATAATCTCCACTCATCACGATCAGCTCTGAGACGCTGTTCGGCTTTCTGGGCCTTGAGAACTTCGCTTCGCAGATCGGCAATCTTCTCTTCGTACCGTTCCGCGACCTCTTTCTCGATCTGACGCCTCCTTGCCTCATGGATAGAATCGTCATAGGCGACAGGGGGACCAATGAGGTCGTTGCCCTTCGTAGATGCGATAATGCCGTCGATACCAACAGGTCTTGAGGAGCTGGCAGATGCTGTGGACTTCGATCCCAACATCCCGCGATCCTCCAAGAGTTCGCGTAGCTGTCGATCACGCACGGCTGCCGCATCACTTTGCCCATGAAATCCGCTTGGTATGCCAAACAGAGTGGCTGCACTAGGCGTGGAACGCGCAAGTGCTGGGCTGCTAATACCTGGCACGTAGTGCTCGGGCATTGCATCCGCCGCCACGATTGGCGTTGAATAGGATTTATTCACCTCACCTTTGATGCGGCCAGTGAAGAAGTTTCCACCGGTAAATGGAATTTCATCCATCGCAAGGTTCTTGTCCTTGTCCGATTCCGAGAATGCGAGCTTCTCTTTGGCGACTGGACTAACTTGACTTGGGGACCGTATTTCAGGGGATCGTACCTCACCTCCTACGGAAAATGCAGGCACTACTTCCTTTCCTACGTGCTCCCAGCCAGACTCAGTAGTCCTCGAAGACATGGGCATGCTCGAAGGCCGTGTCACTCCGCCATGGTAGTTGGAGTTCCGTGCTGCCTCCAATTCGCTGCGTGTCCTCGCTTGAAGATCTTCTTGTGCTTTGAGTGTTTTCCTGAGTTCACTCAGCTCATCGTGCAAGGTAGGCAATGCGCGCCTTGCATGATCTTCATTCTGATGAAGTCGGTCCTCTGCATCTTGCATCCTCCTCACAGCCATTTTGCGGTACTCTTCCTCTTCACCAAGACGTTCACGAAGCCGAAGTCGTTCTTGATCAATGGCTGCGCTGTTCCCAGCTAGCCCTTGGATCTCGTTCACGGCCCGCAACTCCTGATTCTTGACCAAGTGGAATCGTTCCTGCATTGCTTGTAAGGCTTGTTCCGAACTTGCTGTGTTCGACCGGAGGAACAAGTTCTCTCTGGCTTGTTCATGAAGTTCATGAGTCAGATGCTCATACTCACGTGCCATAAGCTCACCATCGCCTTGCGCTCTTGCCTCCAACTGCACAAAGTTAGTGGCTGCTTCCGTGCGAAACACGTGTAGCTGCTGAGCCAACTCCTCGGCAACGGCGTGTGCTTGACGTTGTTGAGCAGAGTTCTGTTCATCCATGCGAAACAAAGCTGCTTCATAGTCTCGCTTCATCTCCTGATTGACATTGTTGATGTGCCTCATGGCTAAGCATGCATGGTCACGTTGTCGTTCCAATTCTTCGATGCGAATCCCAGATCCTTCATCTTCTTGTTGCATCTCCTTGATCTTATCCATCAGGGTCTGGACAACTCCTTCGTACTCTTGCATCTGACTGCGATAGTACATCTGCTGCGCAAGGTTCGATGCTTCGAGCTGTTGCGAAATCGTCAGTTCCTGATAGGCATTCGGACCATCGGCTATGGCTGGCGTGGTCACCGATGACGCATCACCACGTGCAGGAATAGTGTCCAGAGTCATATCCAGATCGTCAGCATCGCGTGGTTGATTGGTAACCATCCGATTCCAAGTCATGGACTTGTCACGCCCACGAGTAGCCGAAGTCCTTGATCGTGCTGAAGAGCTTCTCGAAGATGATGGTCTCGACTTCTTTTCCAAGGTCTTCACTCCTTTGTCCTTGGCCCTGGACGTAGTCCGAGGTGCCTGAAAACCAGACGCTTCGGCTCGTCGTTCTGGAGCCTTGCCCGTCCTCGAACCTGTGGATGTCGGACGCGAAGGCGTAGATGCTCTTGGTAGACTCTTTGCTTTCACCTTGGGAACTGCCTTTGCAATGGCAAGCGCAGAAGATTGACCTTTGTCATCTTCCGTGGAGCTATCAACGGATTGCACCACTGTGTCATCAGCTGTTGACTCACCAACGGCTGGCGCTGCCACATCGGCACCGAAAGTCATTGTCGTATCTTGGCTTGATCCCGAGTTCATTGTGGTCGTAGTAGATCAAGTAGTCGTTGCTGTAGAAAGGCAGAGCCGCGTACGGCTGATAACCTGCGTGGGGATTTGATCTCGATTGTGTTGCTGCTCTCCCCACCAGAGCTGTAATGAATGTAGGTGTGGCTGGCTTGCACTCTCCACAGACTGGACCCTGTCTCTCTCACACTTCCACACGTGCAATCCTATGCAGGCAGAACCGGCGGCCGTTCCTTTTGCACTCGCTGCCGGCGGCGGTTCGTCTGTGCACGGGATAGCTCTGATTGCTCAGGATAGAAGACACATATAGCACTTAGCTACGGGCATTGACTTGAGCCAAACGTTGCGTGGGCGGTCACATAGAAAGGTAAGGAGAAGCGATGCGGTGTGCGCAGCACGTCCACAAGCTTACTCCTAGAGTCGAGGGACGCGTAGCGTGCCCCCTTAGGGTCGAGGGACGCGTAGCGTGCCCCCTTCCCTTGCACTTTACATGGTCTTGCTCACAGCTCTTATAGTGACACCTTAGAACTTGACAAGGCATCGCAGTCCGTTCGCAGTAGTAGTAGTAGTAGTAGTAGCAGTAGTCGTAGTCGTAGTCGTAGTAGTAGTAGTAGTAGTAGTAGTAGTAGTAGTAGTAGTAGTAGTAATAGTAGTAGTAGTAGTAGTAGTAGCAGCAGGAAGCAGTAGTAGTCGTAGTAGTAGTAGTAGTAATAGTAGTAGTAGTAGTAGTAGGAGGTCGTAGTCGTAGTAGTAGTCGTCGTCGTCGTCGTCGTCGTGGCGGTGGTGGTACCTGGCTGCAAGCAGCCTCATCCTTACGCGTACGGCGTCGGGACCCTCAGCTCAGCTCCTGGTTCTGCAAGTCCTGCGGCGTGGCCTTCGGAGCGAGCCGCTCCCAGAGAGCCCAATACCCGTTAATTCAGGAATATACCTAGGGTTCCTTTAAAAGGGGTCTAAAAGGGATCTATAAGGGATTAGAGTTTCCGATATCCCCTTAATTAAGCAATATGGCTTAAATTATAAGGGGCTTCATAATATGATTTAAGCTCTACTCCTTAATTAAGGGGTATGGGGCTCTCTGGGCTGACAGTATTATGGTAACACTATGTTACGCCACCGAGGGGATGGATGCTGGGGAGTTTAGGAAGTTTAAGATAAGGGTTACTCTGAGGGTTAAAGTTCAAACCCTGACTAACATTGAGGTTCGGGCAAATGCCACGCCAAAACACTCACGATGACTGTCTGGCATTCACGCAGTGTGCCCAACGCGTGCACACAGCAATACATGCAGGAGGTTATTGTCTGGGTCCAAGTGTCGTGATAGCGCTTGCCCTGCAACAATCCTAGTACCCTCCACCCTACGAGACAATACCTTCATAAGCCTGGGCCCTCACAGGTCCGTTCTGTTGATGTAATATCATGATCAAACACAGGACATGTACTGCCGGCAGCGGGGAATTGGGAGTCCCTTAAGCATAAAACGGTCCTAACTTGGATCGTATGCCCGGAGGAACCCACACACTAAGTTTGTGCGCAAGACACGCCTGCATGCGTGCTTCCGCATTTCCAGAGCCCAAAGCCGTGAAGAACATCATTAATCTGCGGACCCCTTTCAGAAGGACTGAGTACTCAGGCCGCTGTGGAGATCAAGTCCTCATCCTGCCCAGGATTTGGGGTGTGTGGAAAAGGAGTCCGAGGAAAGTGGGGGTGGCATTTAGGAGTTCAGAGTTTCGGCGAATGGGCTTGCAGCTCAGACAATTCTCAGACGTGTCAGCCACTGAAGTACCGAACCTGTGAATCCATACTCCTCAAAAGGCCTCAACACCAAGACCCAAGGCCCCTGACGGCAAAGCCTCTAGAACCCGAAACCATAATAGAGGGGCCTTCATAACTAGAATAAGGGTTTGGGGCCCACTATACTTAATCATAATAAGGAACCCCCCGAACTAGTATTGCTAACTATTTCAGCCCCTGTAATACCCCATAGTTATAATCAGGAACCCCCAAACTAGTATTGGTACCTGAAGAACCTACCGTTTTAAGGACTCATGTAAGGAAATCGAACAAAGGGCACACCCCAAGCTCGTGAGAAGCTGCTCGGCCTGGTATGGCGCTGCCAGGCTTCGCCTGTTGTGGGCTCTGCTGTGCACCCATGAGATCATAATACTGAACCATGGTTTAGGGTTTAGGGCTTAGGGCCTGGTTTAGGGTTTAGGGTTTGGGGTTTAAGGTTTGGGGTTTGGGGTTTGGGGTTTTGGGTTTAGGGTTTAAGGCATGGCTGGGATAGTATTAAAAAGGATAATTTCTATTCCTTCTTGGGCTGAAGTACCCATAAAACTGTGAAATGTTACCCAACGATGACGAAGCAACGATGTGAGGCGAATCCTCGGTCCCAGGGTAGGGGTACCCCGACGTATGATGCCTTCAGGTTTTCGAGTTCAGCATCGGGCCCACAGCCCGCACGCCGCGGGTCAATTACCCAGAAGTCCGGACTGAGGCCGAAACCTCGAAAAGTCGGAACCTTGACAGCCCGGAGCTCATTCGGAATCCTCCAAACCCCGAAGAACCTGGCGACGCTTCGTAAACGCCTGCAGCTTCGAAAAATCAACCTGAAACCCTACATGGAAATGCTCTGAGCGGCTGCAGTCTAAAGGACAGCCCCGTCATATTGAACCCTTGCATAACCCCTCTTTTGCTGCTGGACTCAAGTCTGGCCAAACCACAACCTGCAATACACCCCTATTTGCATAGACTTGTGTAATTATGCGTGCAAACCCTAAACCCTGTTTTGCATCAGGACTTGTGCAAGCCGTTTTTGAACCTGTTCTGAGGCCGAAGCTTACGACGGCCGTGCCTGAACCGGAAAACCTTTTTGCCGAAACCTTAATAACCTGTTGCCGAAACCGTAAAGCCCGTTTTGCCGAAACCATAAAGACACGTTGCCGAAACCTACAACCTAAGCCCTTTTTGAAGGAGGTTTCTGAAAGGCCTGGAAGCGCCTCGGCGCACCCTCGGAGGCCTTGGCGAGATTCTCGTTCAAGGCGCCACTTCTTGTTCAAATGAAGCTTAGGGTTTAGGGCTTAAGGGTTTAAAAGGGTTTTGGGAGGAGCTCAAGGTTTAAGTTGAAGGGCTCAGCGATTCAGCTTGTTTTAGAACTTTCCTTTTTCGGAGGTCCGGAAAGCCTTGTTCCGTTGGACGGAAAGCATGCCACACAGCAAGGCTGGGTTGAAGGCATCAACCAAAACCTGTAAGGACAGGTCATGTAACGAGCGTCCAACAAGCCCACTCGCACACAAGAAGCATCTGACTTAATCACTCTACGGATTCAGGTTTAGGGTTTGGGGTTCTGGGTAGGGGTGTCGGCGCTTAATGTCTTAGGGCTCAAGGGTTAGGGGTTGCTTAGCGGTTTATTTTTTGTTGAAGCACACAATATCCGAACTGCACGATCACAACCAGAAATGGTCATGGGGCTGGGGTCCTCGTACTTTTCGGGGCGTGCACAGCAGCCTTTCCAGCTGAACTTATGCCAGGCAGAGAGGTCCTAACAAGCCAGTGTAGACAGCCAGCGTAAAAAGCGAATGAAAACCCAACACAGGATGAAGACACTATCCTCAGCTATCCACGCAGGAGGACACGGTCACCTACGACTGCTGGTTTTCGAAAGCTTGACGGTTTTCGCAGACTGAGTGGACAGTAAGCGAAGAAGCAGGAAGTACGACGAGCCAGATGAGAGTCTAACTGAATCACTCCTCATCTGTGTCAAGGCCAGGCACATGGTTCGAGGTTTCGGCCCGGAAGACTCGGCTGCCCTGCCGAATAAGTTATTTGGCGTTCTGCACCTCAGCATCTGGGCCCTTCTCCCGTTTGCCGCAGCACAAACCGCATTTGACCGCGCCCATCTCTCCACAATGCAGTGACGAATCTGGCCAGATGATGGATCGGCCAAGGCTGCAGACAATACGATGTACTGCTGCAAGAACCTTTTGACCAACTGGATGCATCCTCGGCTGTGATCCGCTCAAGGTCCAACCATGCCAATCACGCCATGCATGCCAAGCATAGCAATCATGAATCATGACAACCAAGCGGCCTCCCAATGCTTTCTGGGACTGACGGTTAGTCTGCCCACCCACGCCCCCGCACGCGCATTAGCGCATCGCCCTGCGACAGCCCGGCGCAAGGCTGTGCGGCCTTGGAGGTGGGTTGCAGGGCATTCCGAGCCAGTATATATACTGACTCAGCCCGCATTCGCTTAGACCGTGCCCCACCCCCGGCCAGCGGTGTGAACGCCCTCTGTTACTGAAGCGCCAAGAGGACGTTTTGGTAAGGCAATCAATCATTCAAGTCAAGCAAGAATGGATCACAGGAGCTCCTGTTGCCGAGTGGTAGTAGTAGTAGTAGTAGTAGTAGTAGCAGCAGCAGCAGCAGCAGGAGTAGTAGTAGTTTTTGTCACCCACCTGGCACACCTTTTTTTTCTGAGCAGAGATCAGGCAAGTAGGTCCCCAGGAGCTAAGACATGTGCTTTGACAGAGTTGTCTGTGTGTGTGTGTGAGAGTTTTGTATCGCTTCCGAGTGAAGCTCGCAGGCAGTGCTCGATCTGCCTGAATCTGCCTGAGGGTGCCTTCCTGGACCGCAACAGGAAAGGCTGGGTGGTCTTGTTCGGGTCGCACATAAAGGGGAAAGATTTCTCCAGTCAGTGAGTCGGTCAGTCAGTAAGCCAGCCGCCTGCCAAGCAGGGATGTTTAGTGACTAACTGTTACCCGTCCCTCAGTGAGTTAGTGGTTATGCCTTCGATACGTCGAGGAACCCCTCGAAGCCGTGCTCCGTATTGATTCAGAACCTCTTGATCATCGACACCGCGATGCCGGAGGAGCATGCACATTCTTAGAGCTTTCGAAGTTGATCTGAACGTTCACGTTCGCAGCCGAGACCTCTCTTCAGTCCTGCGATCAGGTTCAACAAGCTCGGAGATTGGAAGCAGCAGAGGCATGACGTTGGGTGATGTGGAGCTGCTGTGCCTGCTCCTCCTTCCCCCCGTTCTCATTCGAGCAGAGCAGTAGAGTCGCGTGAAAGCGGCGTTGCGGTGGCCCCGCCTTCGTCACCCGTATTTTTTGCCAAATGGGGCGCAGGACAGCGCCTGCAATCCCTGCAGGCTGCGAGCTCGCACTCACTCCAGCTACCTCTCGTTCTCCAAAACTCCAAGACCCGACATCTGACAATTGACATTTAATATCTGAAACCTGAGACTGGTATCTTCTATCTATCTTATGCCTGTATCCTGATTTGTACCTGTGTCTGTATCTATCCCTGGCCGCTGTCTGTCGAAGGGGCTATCCGTCTATCTGTCTATCTAAGTATCTATCTAACTACCTTTCTATGTATCTCTCCCCTTGCCTCTCTTCGGCACGTCTCTCTACCGAGCGAGATTTGCAATGGTCTGACTTCCTTCCGAAACGGATCCATGCCTGTAAACGAGTGCTTGGAATGGCACGTAAGCCATCGACGTGCTTTTTTCATACTCGCTCCCAGTCTGCCAATTGCTGATAACCTCGCTTGATATTCTGGCCAGGATGCACCTCGCGATGACGCTGACAGCGCAAACGAAGATGCTGGCAGCTGGGATGGCTGCTTGCTTCGCGTGTGATCAAAAGTGACCTGGCTAGCGCACGAGATACAGTAGTCATCGAAGAGCATAGTTGCCGCGACGTGCCCAGACTGTTCGCATGCACGCTGCTCAAGGTCTTAAACACTTACTAACCCCAGCGACCCTCCAAGAAAGGACGCCCGCAGTGCGCGGAACATCTATCATCTGAATGAAGAACCCTCCTTCAGGGCCTGGCCTCCTGTAAAACTTTCTGGGACACATCCACCTTCCAAGAGTAGTAGTAGTAGTAGTAGTAGTAGTAGTAGTAGTAGTAGTAGTAGTAGTAGTAGTAGTAGTAGTAGTAGTAGTAGTAGTAGTAGTAGTTAGTAGGAAGTCTGAGAAATCACAGATTGGAAATATCTTTTGAAATACTGAAAAGCATAAGTCTTGACGCCTGCAATTTTTTTCCAGCCTTTCGTTGCAAGGTAAAGACTCGGCACGCTTGAGCCAAAATGGCTGCGGTCTAGGGTTTAGGGGTTCAGGGCTTACATGTTTAGGGATTGAGGTTGGGTCTAGGGTTTTGGGTTTTGGGTTGGGTCTAGGGTTTACTGGTTCAGGGTCTGAAGATTTAGGGATTAGGGTAGGGTCTAGGGTTTAGAGGCTTGGCGGTTGTGCCTTTAGGGGGCCTGGGGGAGGCAGAGAGAGAGAGAGGGAGGGAGGGGGGGTTTTGGGTTTAAGGGCTCAGGGTTTCAGGGTTTCCACTGTTACGAGGCGTCTGAGGACGATGGCCCATCATGAGGGAGACGGAGCCCATTGCATCGGCATCGCGAATGCATTCAAGGCCATGGAGATGTGTGATACTATGAAGTTATTCGGAACCCCAAAATGAACCCTGCCGAATACTCGACAGTTTTGAGTGTAGAAGGGCCTGGATCTTGCGGAATTATCGCATACTCGTATAATCTTGCGAGGTGGGAGGGCCATGACCCCGCAAAAGTATCGACTGCAAAATTTCATGAACTCGGCATCAGCCTCAATGAAAAATAACCCAAGGCTGAGACTCGAAGACATATGCTCCGAATTACAAACACGGATCTTTGACGCGGCTTGACCTCGGGATGTTGGGGCTTCATGCTGAACAAAAAGCTCAGCGCCCCAGATCCCAAAGGTACCCTTTTCCTACTCTTCCATATCACTATCTCTGAACCCCAAGCCCTAAACCCTACACCGTAAACCTAATAAGGGGAAAGAAAGGGTACCCCTTAAGTCGGCCCCCTTACAGTAAGAGTCTATAATATCGCTACTATTAAGGTCCTAATATATCTATATTATGAATATTATTCAACTATTACTGAGTGGGGGCCGTACCTAAGGTACCCCTGAAGGAACCGAGTCTTCGGAACCCCAGCTCTGCAGCGCGGGAGCTGGCAGCCTGATACGCCGCGGCAGCTGTGGGAGGGTCTTTTGGGTTTAGGGCTGGCTTAGGGCTGAGGTTAGGGTTTGCTGTTTGGGGTGTAAGGCTTACTTACGTGTAAGGCCTAGGGTTAGGGCTTAGGGTTTGGGGGAACTCGTCATCCCTGCAGAGCCATTTTCCCTTTATTCTTCTTTTACATCCTCCCATGGAAGGACCTGTAGTTGGTATTTAAGCTGCGTTGGTTCCGTCAGTCTCTCTTTCAGGAATCATCCGGGAGGGAGGCAGGAGTTGCGACCTCTTTTGCTTGTCTTGGGGCTTGTGGTTCAGGGTTCTCTCTCTCTGTCTCAAGGGTCTCGCCTAGCTATGGCACGAATATGCAGGTCTGAGCATCAGGTGGTGGAACGTGTGCTCATCACCTCCTTCATCCGTCTAGCCCCGCTGAGGCTTGGGGTTTAAGGAGTTTTCGGGCTCTGGGGTTGACCAGGTTTTTCCTCAACCCCATACAGAACTATGCCGGAAGTGCGGGGCTTCTTAAATGCTTTTTGACATCTTGATAGCAAGACAATAGAGGACAACTATCTCGGCCGACGATGCGCTACAGGGCTGGCAGTCTTCAGCATCGACAAGTCCCAAACTCCACAACATGCCTTAGAAGGGGCCCCCACCCTGTAATAGTGGTATAATAGGAATATAATAGGGCCCTAATATAATCCATATAGTCACGATTACAGGGTGGGGGCAGCTTCTAAAACGTGCCTTTAATCCCGTGACCCACAGAAAAACGAACCTGGAAACTCAGAAAACCTGTCACTCGCACCTTTGGGGTTACAGTAGAAGCCAGAAAGTTGGAATATCATTATCCTAACCCCTTTAAGGTAAATTATAGGGATCCTACCATTAATCCATATTCCAACTTTCTGGAGTTCCCTGTAGGGGATCGGACTGCCGGGTCTCACGGCTTAGTCCATGTAATTAAAGAATAAAACTACAAGATCATGATAAGAATAGCCATACTTAGTAGCTGAGTTCGTAAGCCCCCAAAAGTGTACGCTTTCAGTTTTATAGTGGGCGATATTATCCCACAAAGTGTAACGCGTATCCACTCAGCTACTAAGAATAATAATGACAGCAATACTGATAATAGCAATAATAACAAGAAGAATAGTGGTAGCGACGATAACAATTATAACATTATAATGCCTTTTACCTCGCGCCCTGCATCCCAAAAAACCTGAACCCCTCCCAACCCAAGAAGGCCTGGGCATTGGAGGTCTGGTCGCAGAAGGCCAACCAAAACGTATGTGCCTGCTTGTTTGGGGTTTGCGCTCTCGCAACTTGGGCCTGGTTAGGGTTTAGGGGTTTAGTTTCTCGCGCTCGCTTTCGCTGCCGTAGGCTCCTGCACCTAATTAAAACCCCGGAAGGGGTTTAGTTTCGGCGCTCACACGCTGACAATCCTTGCGAGGCATGTGGTTCGGAGTCTAACGAGCGAGACTTCTCTAAAAGGAGCGGTCAAGTACACGCGGGGGGTAGGGGTTTAGGGTTAGAAGACTCAATCAATTTCTGGCACTGATTGTTTTAAAGAGACGGGATTTAGGTGCATAGGTCGAGGGATCCTGATTTGCGCTTTGGACTTAGAGTCTCTAGGGATTGGGTGACTGCTCCTGAGCAGAGTTATACGCGCGTTAGATTGTTGCGAACAGTGCATCACAACCCGACATGAATATGATTCTAGCGCTTCTTGCAATACATCTTATAGCTGACCCTAGCAGAGGCTGGTGCACGAGGGTTCAGAACTTAAGGGTTTGGCTCTGGAGAGTTGGGCTTCAGCATCCTCTGGCTCCGACATGGCAGGGCGCAGCACCTTCAGGAAATCCTAAACCCGAAACCGTAGTCGGGGCGAACTCCGAAAAACAGGTTGCTCTAGATGAATTCCGCTGGGGGCTGCTGGAATAGCCTGCTCCTCAGAAGAAGAGACCCGCACGAATCCCCAGACCAGCTCACACAGCATCCTGCAACTGATTTATGGACAGACTCATCGCTTGTCCAACGACGCGGTGAATTAATCTAGGGGCCTAGATTCGCCTAGATAATTACCAATACTATCTTGGGGCTTCATTATTCAAAATATAGTATCATGGGCCCCAGAACCCTATTCTAAGTACTAAGGTCCCCATATTACCCATCGGCCTGGCCCAAGTTCAGCACGAGCCGATCACCATCCAGCAGGTGGCGCTGCTCGCCCTTCGTGAGCACCTTTGCGTCAGGCCCCGAAACAACATGCGCTTCGGGGCGGCACCCGCAAGAATCTGGACTTTAAGTAACCAGGGAGAAAAAAGTATAGACTTTTATTTCATAATGGTTCCTTTAAGGGGTATTCAAGTATGGTACTCCAAACCCAGGGAATTGATGCTGCTGGTGATTGGCATGTGTCACTGCTGTCCAAACCTCTGGCAAAGGCAACCCAAGACCAGATCGAAAGATGTACATGGCCCCACGACAACAGTTCTTCCCCTGCTGTACAGATTGCCGTATTGAGGACTAAGCAAATCTCAATGAGGACACTGTGTGGCAAAGCTACATACCGTTTGGACATCAGTTTGGGGCCAGAGAAGCTACAGCTACCGCAACTCGAATGGCAAATGGCTGGTGGTATCTTGTGACGGTTACCCAGACTGAAAAAAAAGAAAAACGCGCGGCTCGGAACAGATCCGGCAGCGGAAGTCAGCTTCGTGCTTCGGATACATGAAGCCACGACAAGATCTTCGACTCCGGTTCAGAAGGATGGGAGGAAACCCTGAAATGCTATGGTTTGGAGTAGTGATTGCACGGCCGCAGCCGGAAGCACCGCCGCCAGCCACACTGTCTGAGCTACCCCCGCGAGATTTTCATAGAGAGTTCCGCTGCAGCCTGATGTGGACATCAACGACTCCCATGCCAACCCCGAGCCCGTGACCCGCGGCTGCTGCTCGGCAGCCTCTCTGCAAGGCGGGGCAGTCAGTCTTGTCGCATACAGGCGCATTGAGCGTTCTTAGCGATTTGGCCAACAGATCGGATCTCGTTCCGTGGGGTCTGCCCTACAGCTTCGTCTGCAAATGCTGTCCGCCTGTGTTTATAATCTATGTCTTGGAAATGGGAAGCTTGGCGGCCAGGTCGGACGGGCTGTCCGAGAGCACTTTCGATTCTTCCTTCAAACAATGAATCGGGGAGTTTCCTAAAATTAGGGGTACCTTATTTTGGTGTCCTTATAATAAGGATCCTACTATTAGGGTGCTATAATAGAGTTCCCTATCTTCCATGTAAGCCGGCCTCAACGTTGGCAATCACATGGACAGGGTTCACATCGCCTCAGCTTCCGCAAGCTAACTCCACGGATCCGGATTGCTACACCGGTGCTGCAGCCGGGTCCACTGTTCTCACCATGGTCCTTTCGGAAGTCCAGCTCTAGCTTGGTTACTCTCAATTGTTTCCACAAACCTCAAACCTAAACCCCTTAGGAGCTGAAGGGACCTACAAAATAGGTTGGAAACTGGTCTTAGAAGGATGGTATCCAATTCGCGATACTTATACCTGACTTATACCTTCTTACTGAGTCCCATGGCCGTTCCTCCTAAACAAAACCTCTCGAACATCCGGGGCATTCGCTCAGGTTTCGGGCCAGGAAAGAGAAGCTGCCATCACCTGGCAGGCTCTGGCACTCGGCATGCAGGCTTCGGGGCAGTCGGCTTCGTCTGCACTGTAGCTATACCCCACCTTAGAGCCGTAATAACTACAAAATGATTCATGTTCTCTTAGGATTTATATGAACCTAAGGATACTAGATGTAGGAGCTTTCTCGTGCTTCCAGCCAGTTAGCCGGCGGCCTGCAAGATCAAACTTCAGGCTTATTCCCCCCCTCAGAAGAACGTGCCGTACATTGCAGGCGGCGTGGTGTAACTATGCTTCCGGTTCCAGATGCTTTCAAGCACCATCTGCGACAGAAGGGCTGCAAGCGTGTACGACGAATTTAGGGTTGGACAACGCTGCAACACACCGATACTCAGCTGGACAGGACCTACTGTAACTGCTTACAACCGACTATGAACTAAGAGCAACCGCGAACAGCCCTGACAGCCATGTCAACAACTCATATTTCATGCCCGAATAAAGATGGAGACCCTAACTGTTTAACTACACCCTAAACTAAACCGAACCTTTTGCTGCAGGCTTGCCCTCTTCTCGCGTGGAAATGCCGCAGCTTTGGTGTTTCCTCTTAGAAGCACACTCATGCGGCAATGAGCTCGACAAGTCGCATACACATCTTGGCGACCATAAAGTTTGAACCCCGAGAAATCCCGCAATCACAGACCCTTAAAACTTTGGACCCTTTGCGCTGCCTGGCGCTCTCCATGCCTGCACCTGACCACAGACATGGTAGAAGTTAAGGGTGTGCCCTAAGGCTCCATAGTAGTTCCTTTTTGGGGTTCATATTTAGAATCCTATAGGGTAATCCCAATAAGGAACTACGATGGAGCCTTAGGGTATTTGTGTCTTTCGTCTACAAAGCTGGTAGCAGCGAAAAGTGCCGCATGCGGCAGAGTCTTAGCCTCGAAGTGGACATCTGCAACCTATTCAAGGTACACCACACCCACACCCAGACCAAATACCGGCAAAAACAGAATTGCGCTGCAAAACAACTGCAAGAAGATTGTCAGCTTGGGGTTTAATATTAATATTAATCTTAATATTAATATTAGTATTAGTATTAATATTAGTACTGTATTAGTATTAATATTAGTATTAGTATTAGTATCTACAGCACAGGACTGCTACCTTCGGCCGGATTTAGGTTTTGGGGTCGGGCTCGCCTGTTACCTCCCCGGTGCCTGCGGAGAAGCTGCGGAAGATCCCTTCTTGATACGAGTGGCCATCTGTCTTTAGATGTCTGCACATCTGCGGAACATAACCTGAAACCCGACAACCCCCTTTCTTGACCCGTTTTTGAAAGAATACCTAAACCCGGTTAACCCGACAACCCCTAAACCCATGCAAACCCTTATAAACCCCTATGAACCCATGTAATGTAAACCCTTATAAACCTCTATAAACCATATCAACCCTTATGAACCCCTACAAACCCTTTTGAACCCTTAGTGATGGAGGCCTCGATGTGCTGGCGCGACAGCGTGCTCAGAGCCTCGGGCCGCAACACCTGCAGGCGAGTGCGGAGTCTCGAGTTGAAGCTCGGGCGTGGGGGGGTTTGTTTGGGCTTCGGTGGTTTTCAGTTCCTGGGGTTTGGAGTTGAGGGCTTTAGGTCTTAAGTAAGATTCCTGGGAACTGAGGCTGAGCGTTTCAGGGTTCAGGGCTTGGCGTGTCGACTCACCCAGAGACTCCAATATTCCTTAATTAGGGAATATACCTTAAATCATATAAGGGATCCTACCACAATTTAAGGAATATTCCTTAATTAAGGGATATTGGAGTCTCTGGGCACGATAGCACAAGGCAGGCAGGGCAGGGGCTCTCGGGTTTTCTTCCCCACGTTGCCAGGTCCCAGGTGTTTGGGGGCCATGGTTTAGGGTTGAAGTTTAGGGTTGTGGGTGTAGGGTTCGGGGGCGGCGTTTAGGAATTTAGACAACGAGGTTTAGGATTGAAGTTTAGGGTTTGGGCGTAGGGTTCGAGAGCAGCGTTTACAGTAGGAATTAAGACGACGACAATTACGACAACGACATCAACGACTGGGGCCAGTGTATCTATCCGAATGGAAGGTTCCGCAATAGAATTCTCGATGTATGCGGTATGCGGTAATTCAATTCTACAATAGCTGTTTCCCCCAAGGCGATACCTCTAATGGCCGGTCCTAAGCTCCACGCCTCGGCGATGTCTCTCGCATCACAAGGCATGAGAGCTCGCCTACATCCTGAACCCATGAAAATGTAACCCTTCTTGCTACTGGACTCACATCTAGTCAGTCCACAGATTCCCTCTTTTTGACCAGCGACTGCAATGCACCAAGCCCTGAATCCCTTCAGCCAAGTTTCAAAACTGAGCACGCGAAGCGTGTTGCACTGTCCGCAACCACCGATCTGGGACTGCTTGAAAAGACACGACGTTTACTCGATGTCGATAACCATGAAGACTACTCCACAGCTTCCCTAGACCCTGAAACCCCACTACCTGGAAAGTGCGTGCCCCGGTGCCTCTGGCCAGAACTCCAGTTGGTGGGCACGGCCGATAATGAAGGAGCTGAAGCGTTTAGGCAGGTGTGGGGTGTAGAGTTTAGGGTTTCGAGCTCAGAAAAATGTGGTGGTTCAAGGCTTAGGTTGCAACACAGACTTTTCTAGGGATTTAGAGCTCTGGTTTAGGGTTTCTGCAAAGATTTGGGGAAGGGCCTGGTTCACATATCCCAATCTAGAAAAGAGTGGACAGATCTCGTACTTAAGCGCTTTGCTCTGATCCCTGCGCCTCTCTTTTTCATGCTGATCTGGTCGCTGGGAGGAGCAAGACAAACCCCGGCTTCACCCTAAAACCGGCAAATCTTCAAAACCCTGAATTTTCAGACACGAAACCCAAACAGACAAAAAAACTGAGCCCGAAACTCCAAACAAACCCTCAGCCATGCTAAGCCCCAAAACGCCGAAACCAGTCCCCAATCCTAACCATAAACGGAAAAGCGACAACTAAACCAAAACTTTGTCGTCGTCTTTGCAGTAAGCCTTACCACAAGCCTCATGGAAACCCTTGCAGACAGGCTTGTAGCAGCGGAAACTACTCTTACTTCTGGAACCCCTGCAGTAACCATGAACCCAGGAAAGAACGATGAGGCCCTTGTAGTACATTATATAGCCCTAACCCTATAGATACCCCCATAAAGCCCCACTAACACTCTACAAACCCGATAAAGACGCTGTAAAACCGAGAACAGAAGACCTTGAAAACAGCCTAGAAACCATAATAACAAGCCCAGCCGGGTCCTGAAGAGCTCCGGCGATTCCTCCGGCGCCGTGAAAGCCAAGCGCCGCGAGTCCACCGGGAGCTGTGCAGCTCATAGAGGGGCAATCCACCGTTCGAATGAGCTTGTGGGGTATGTGATAGTAAAACCAAAACAAGGACTGCCTCGGAAAAAGAGCAGGAAATATTCCGATCCAACATTAAACTTCTTGCTGCTTTCGTCGGGGGGAGGGGTTCAAGGCTTGAAATTTGGGGAGTCGGAGCAGTCGGAGCAGTGGGTTCAGGCTGGTGGTTGCGTCTTTATGGCTTAGAGTGTTGGGACGCCGGCAACTCGGACACTCCAGGCGAGGCTGTTTCGTGGTTGTGAACGGGAGAGACGACGGAGGCGTTCGGAGAAGCTTGCAGTTTGGGGCCTCGGGCCTTGGTGAATCAAACTCTGGTCTCTGAAACTGTGTTGTAGACAGCTGCCGGGGGTCGACGCCAGCTTGCTGAGGGCCCCGGAAAACCGCGCGAGGCTGTGACTTCTGAATTCGGAAGCGAAGCTTCGCTGAGGTTAGGAGCCAGTGGATCGGACATCCTTTTCAGCACTCACAACTAGACAAGCAGGCCAGGAACCGAGTACCAGAACGACCAAGCACATTGGCTACTCACAAGCTAAGGGTGTTTAGGTTAGGGGGTGTATTTCGGCTTAGAGATGACCGGGAGACCAACTCGTAAGCCCTTTAAAGGAAACCCTATAGAAACCTTCAAAGGATATCAAAGGAACCCTACTCCAATAATGAAGGCCTCTGATGAAACCGCTTCCCGATCCCACAGCCCTGAATGAACGCTACTCTGGTTTCGAACTCCCTCGCTCCACGCCCTATGTCCGAAAAAGGCTCCGGAAGTCCTTCGCGCACCTGCATCTTCACCCCAGGGCCCATGGCCTCTAAGACGAGGATCGGGCTGGCCTGCGGTGGGAATAGACATTCATGCACTACAGGGGCCTTAATAATCAGAATAGGGTTTCGGGGCCCGTTATACTATAATTGTATCAAGGAATCGCCAAAAGAGTAGAAGTAATCATGAACGCCCCTGTATGACCTTGATGACAAGGAGGGTCGTGCCGCTGCAGCCCCGTCAAGGATTACGAAAACACAACACTCAAGGGGGAACTTGCGTTGATGAGGCCTCTCAACCTCCCCACGCTTGATGAAGCTCTCTTTCCGAAGCTATACAAGCTGCAAAGCTGTGCTCGTACACCCGAAGCCTTAAGCATCCCTAACGCTAACCGCTAGAGCTGTGTTTTTGCATAAGCTGCTTCTGGCCTGGCCGAGCCTTTGGCTTCAAGGTTCGAATTTAGAGATGTCGGCAGAAGCCCTGGAGACATCTCTTGATCTCAGCACGGGTAAAAACACACCCGGCAAGCTTCAAGACTGTGCTCATGCAACCACTCTGATACTCTTTTTTCCACGAGATGCTCGCCTTCCTCCCTGCCTCCTGTCGCAGATGGGAGTTTCCGAAAATGGGGGACCCTAATGTAGTACCCTTAATAGTAGGATCCTTGTTATAAGGAGCCCCAATGAGGTACCCCTGGTTTTCGGGAAACTCCCAGATAGCAAAGCGTCTCCTTGCTGCGGCCCTTGCTGCGGCTGTTGGTCTTGATCGAGGGACCCTGGGGTCCCTGTAGCTAAGGTAAGCCAGGGCCCGCACTGAAACGTGACAAATTCCATCGGGCTTTCTGGCTCTCGTAGTAGCGGTCGATCGTGGGTCGTCGTCTCGACAAGGACCCCTCTAGTGTTTATGGCATAGGGCTTCGGGAGTTTAGGAAGAAGGCCTTGGGTTCTTTGGCCCTCGTGTCGTCAGCGTAGCCGTCGTTTTCGTCGTCGTGTCGTAGGGCCCCCTTTAAAGTCATGCAGGCTCGAGTAGGGATTGAAGTAGGGATATCAGGTAACCACTAAAACTTCCCTAAAATCTACAGTCCTACAGTCCTGAAAACCGTGAGTTCTCAGGTCTGCCTCCTCGCAGTCCAGCAGACGCTGGGCACCAGGGCACAGCAACCGCCGCAGTGGCACCGCATCACTCATGCAACCGCTTCGCTTCGGGAACTCCGCAAGACAGCCAGCCGCCTTGCAAGCTTCAGCTTCAAACTCGTCCCCGGACAGGGCCTGTATACAGCGCCGTTGCATCTCTCTCCTTCTCCGCTTCGCTTCCACAATCGCCGCGAAGTTTTGTCCATGTGGCGGAATGCTCGCCACCAGACACCGCGAGCCGCAGTGTCACCACTGCCAGAGGCAGGCACCCCAAATGTAGAGACGTCCGATCTCAGGTCGTCGTCTGAGCTTCCGAAGAGCCGCAGGCGCAGAGAGCCGAGCCCTCCGGCAGGTCATAGAAGCGAAGGGTGCCGTTCACTCGAAGCTCCGTCACCTCTGGCTCCTTAAGGACGGCGTGCAGCCACCGGCCCTGGAACCCTGGGCCCATTGCCAGGAAGCTGCCGTGGTGCATGGGAACCTGACAACAAAGGGGGCACGTTGGGTCGCATGGTCCGAGCACAGCAGAAGTCAGACTATCCTGTAGCTCCTGTGGGAGCGACGCAGGGCTTGCAGCAAGAACCATGTGCATGAAGAGTAAGGCTTGCAGGACTTGCCACCGGAGCCTGAATCTCAATGCGCCGCCCGTTCCACGGCATCTGGCTCCGCAAGGAGAACGTCCTCGAGCTCGGAAAGGCGGGTTGCAACTGCCGGAATGCCACTAAAACCCTTGGGCCGGACACGTGTCCCTCTGCTCTAAAATTTGAAGAGTTGAAGCAGCCGGGACCAAACCTCAAACCCGAAGCCCTTAAGGAACCCCAAATTATCTACCTTTTTGTAAGGAACCCGAAGGCAACAATACTAGCGGCAACTCTTAAGGCTTCTGTTGCACACCGCATCTCCATAACCCTCCCAAACCCACCAAAAAAACCTACAGTATTAATTATGTACCCCATCGAAACCCTGTCAAAACCCTGACTTATAGCATAAGAACTACTGCAGCAACTAAACCCCATCAAAAACCATCGAAACCCTTTCAAAACCCTTGCTAATAAAATCATTACATCACTACATCTCCACGAAGGCTCAAACCCTAAACTCTTAACCCAAATACCCTATACCCTAAACCCTAAACCCTACACTTTAAACCCTGAACCCTGAATTCTCCTCGTCGCGCCCAAGGAGAAGGAGGCGATCGCGGCAGCATCGCCCAGGCCGAGGTCCGAGTCGCTGTGAAAGCCCATGGAGTGTCCCCCGTGGTCCTTTTTGGGGCTTCAGTAAGGAAACGAAAAGAACTAATTTACTAAAGGGTACAATAAGGGCTCCTTTAAGGGATCTTTTTATGTCTGCCCCTCATCCAGGTCCTTTTGCTTTAGGGTTTAGGAGTTTTTTGAAGTTTTCAGATGGTTTTAGGGCAGGGTTTAAGTGTTTCTTTGAAGTTTTCAGATGGTTTTAGGGCTCTAGGGTTTTGAGGTTTTAGGGCTTTAGGTTCTACGGGCTTTAAGGTTTCAAGATTTAGCTTTAGAGTTTTGGGGCTTGGAGGGTTTTACTCGGACAGGCCGGGCGAGGGTTTTCTGGGTGCGTAGTTGAATGAGGTGAGACACTTAGGGTTTTAGGGTTTAGGGCCTTTGAGCTTTAAGGTTTCGACTCGCACACTCGCTGACGCAGGCACGGCTTCCGGGTTTAGGTTTTTGGGGTTTGGATGGTTTTTGGACTTTGGCGCTCTGGGTTTTTTTTCTAGGGTTTAGTTGCGAGTTCTTTTCCTTCCTAGTCTGACTCTGACAATCGAACAAGCCTGGCCAGGTCTGTAACGACGACCTGACAAGTGCAAAAGAATGGCGAGTGATGCTGTCAGACAGCTTCTGTATTTCAGCACCCCCGACACTAATCTGCGGCTGGGACATGCCAGCACCAACAGGTCCTATTGATACACTTACAAAAAATCTTGACTCTGCCAAAGGAGATGTCAGGAATTGATTCTCTGGGTGCTGTTTGGCTTCGTAGCTGTGGAGAAGAAGAGCATTGAACCGGCAGCACGACGTGGCCTCCGCCCGCGCGAACACGGCCTGCACATCGAGCGAGTACAATTGATCCCGGACGATGATGTGAAGCTGCATATGGCATGCTATAGTTCTCATAGTAAACTGTAGCATGCTATATAGCTTACTAGAGTGCACATCAGCATAAGACAATATCCAACATTAGACCATAGTGTGCCGTAGTATACTCTAGTATACTGTAGTATACGATAGTGTAGTGGAGTATATTGGAGTATACTGTAGGGTATTATAGTACAGTCTAGTACGCTATCGTAGAGTATGCTAGATCATGGTATAGTATAGTCCAGTATGGTGAGCTCTGATATCGTTAAGTTCGGAAGTACTGCAAGAAACTTAGATGTTCTAACAAGACATGCACTGTTATAGTATGTCACCGTATGTTGTTGCATAAAACCGCATATTACACAACTTATCTCATATGGTATCCCACTGTATCCTTCCGTACAGCCAGCACGCATGAACCCCGGAGGGCCTTGCTCCAGGCTTCCACGGGGTGGGCCTCAAGAACCTGAAGCTTTGGCGGTTCATGAGAACCTGATTAAGAAACCTGGGTTTTTGTTCGGATTCCTTTAATTCGTGTGAATCCCGATATGTTGGGAACCTTCGGCCAGGGTTTCTTAAACAGCTTCTTTTTTTAGCACTCGCACTCGGCAAAGCAGGCGAGGTTTCGGGTGAACTGAGTCTTGGGGTTGAGCCTCCTAGGCTCATTGGCCGCAGGTTGCACTGACTACATTAACCAACTTAAGCAGCTTCTTACATTACCTTCGAGCTTCGGGTGTTGGGCCGGTTTCCAAAAATAGGGACCCTAACGTAGCACCCTAAATTGTAGGACCCTTGTTGTAAGGACCCAACAACAAGGTACTCCCATATAGTTCGTGCTAGGCGAGCAATGAGAGTCCTTTGCCCGGGCACGGCTTCCGCCAGGGCGTGCCCCTTGGCTTGCAGCAGCGCGAGATGTTCACGGCCTCGGACCAGGAAGCTCCAGTTTCGGATTGAGTTGTCGGATTGAGTTACTGAGTCGTCCTTTAAGCCCTTTGAAAGTTATTTCCTATTATGGTTCTCTACCAAATAGTAGGGAGAAATTAAAAAAGATCCCAAAGGACAACCCGGATTATTACTTGCACCCCAAATCAAACCCATCCCTCGACCCTTTTCACAACTGGTCTTGGGACTTGCCAAGCCCTTTTTTGCTACTGGACTCAAGTCAAGCCAGTGTACGACACACAATCATCTTGACCGAGGCCGACATGCAGCACCGATACACTTGCCAAACCCTAATTAATTACGAAACCCTAAACCTTTAACCCGGAGCTTCGTCGGAAGATGCTGGTCGCGCAGCCGCGGCGCTGTTGAACTGGTCGGAGACCCATGCCGATCGCCGAGGCTGCTGCGCCTCCACGCTTCGGAGGCCACCTTGCGGACTAGGGCTTAAGGTTCAGGATTTTAGGATTTGAGGGTTTAGGGCTTAGGGTTTTAGGGCTTCGAGTTTTTATAATCATACCGTGGATGGCACTCAGGTCATACATGTAGCTACAGCTAGTACTACAAGTGCCATCACAACTGTTCTCATCCGTGATCTTATCACCTGCAGTCTTATTCTTGCCATCTAAATCATGCTCCTCGTCATCATCCTCAGCGCACCATCATGATCACATCCCCGTCATCACCATAGTCATCATCGTCGGCATCAACAGCAACATCATCATCACCATCAGCTTCATCACCCTGACGATGATGCTTCCTACTACTCTTCTGACTACTACCCTCCCTCTCCCCCCACTCCACTCCCCCTCCCACTCCTAATCCTCCTCCTCCTATAACGATGGCTTTTCTTGTATGGCTTCTTGTCATATTGTGATTTGGCTGTTCTTACCAGTACAAGCATTTCCCCCGATTGTGGGCGGGCTTTCGGTCTTTGCCTCTCTGTCCCTTTGATGCCTTTGCGACTTCAGACAGAAGCACTAAGTACTTAACAGCTGTTGTCACACGATGTTGGAGAGGGGACGTGCCAAGAGAAACAGAAAAATTGAAGCCTTTGGGCGAATCAGAAACTAAGGGAGAACTGGCACGATCCTGACAATAAGGAACCTGAGTACCCCGAGTTTAAAGAAGTGTCAGGTTTTGCAGCCGAGGCGCGACTGAATCGCAGCACGGGCTGTTGGAAGGCGACCTTCTCCTAAGCACCGGGGCAAGTTGGAAGGAGCGGCTACCTAACTAACGACTGCTGTCGGGCTTCGGCTTCTTACTTGGGCCTTAGTGGGCTTACGGTTTAGGCAGTTTAGGCTTTAGTGATTTTTTGTGGGTTCAGGGTCTAGGGTCTTACGGTTTAGGCTTTAGTTGCTGCCTGGAGGATCATGGGACTTAGTAAGTAGGGTTGTACGTAAGTGCCTTGATTGGAGTCATAAGTAAGTATATAAGTATGATGACTACCTTATTTGAACGTACCGTGATCCTGCAAGTAAGGCAATTACCGATACTATTTTAGGGGCTCCTTATGATAAGTATAGTATAATATACCCCAAGACCCCAATCTAACTATTAAGGCCCCTAACTCATGATACCCTTATAGATACCTTATAGTAGCCCCTTTAAAGGAACCCTATGAAACCCTGTTCCAATTATTAAGGCCCCTGTATTACTCAGAGGATCATGGGACTTAGTAAGTGAGGCTATACATAAGGTAACTATACTTAAAATCTCTTGTAACCCCAAATAAGATATATAGTTATAACTTATAACCTTACTTACTAAGTCCCACGATCCTCCAAGTAGACCCTAAACCCTAAACCCTATAGATCCCGTTTAGGAACCCCTACAGATCCCTTTAAGGAGCAACTCTTACCTACTAAGCCCCATGATCCTCCAAGTAGGGGGCTTCGATCTTCCGTCCCTTTAAACAGAACCCTTAGAGGAACCCCGTTCTAACTATTAAGGCCCCCGTATTTGGGGGCTTCGACCTTGCGTCCTGGATGGCCCGGAGGAGCCGATCGGCCTCCGACGGGCCGAGCCAGCGCGGACACCAAAGGAGCTCCTGGGTTCTTCTTCTTCAAGGAATTCTGCACTTAAGGTACCATGATTTAGGGTTCCCTTAAGGGTTCTATAAGGGCTTGCTTTAAGGCTTTAGGGTTTAGGGTCTAGTTCTTCTTCTTAGGGGAATTCTGAATTTAAGGTTGAAGGCACCAAAATTTAAGGTTGCCCTTAGGGTTCCCTTGAGGGTTCTATAAGGGCTTTAGGGTTTACAGTCTACTTCTTCTTCTGAGGGGATTCTGAATTTAAGGTACCATAGCTTAGGGTTCCTTTAAGGGCTCCATAAGGGTGTCCGCGCTCACACTCGGACAATCCCGGCGAGGCTAGGGTTCAGGGTTTAGGGTCTTGTTAAGGGATTTTGAATCTAAGGTTCCTTTAAGGGACCCGTCAGGGTGGATTCTATAAGGGTTAAGGGATTTAACTAGGGTTCCTGTAAGGGATCCATAAGGGTTCCTTTAGGCGTTCTATGAGGCTTAAGGAAGCAAATTGAAGGTACCACAACGAGGAAACCCTACAAGTATTATTTACGATAGCTCCTTATTGCTTGCTACCTATCTTAAGTATGACTATTCATTGATATAAACCTCTATGATGGTAACTCAAAAAAAGAACCCTTAACAAGAACCCAGACTCCGTCTCCCAGGGCAAGACGACAAGGTAGGGCCTGCCATCCGCCAGCCTCGAGGTTTCGGAACGGGACACTCGTGCTTACTGTAGGGACCGTCATTAGGCTACTCACCCTGTAATAGTGGTATAATAGGAATATAAATGGCCCTAATATAATCCTTACAGTCACTATTGCAGGGTGGGGGCAGCTTCTAAGGTACATTATGTTCATTCCCTCTCTCTCTCTCTGCCGTGCCATCATCAGGAGTCTCGGAATGCACTTAATCAGGGTTCCTTGTTATAACTAGAGTAAAAAATATACCTCCCAAAATACCCTATTCTAATTATTCAGGCCCCTACATTACTTTGGTTGCCCCGGGCGTGGGAGCTTCAGGCAGATCCGGGTTTTCGCGATGTGGGAGTTTCCGAAAATGGGGGACCCTAATATAGCACCCTAAATAGTAAAAATAGTAGCCTAATATGGCACCCTAAAATAGTAGCCTAATATAGCACCCTAAGTAGTAGCCTAATATAGCACCCTAAATAGTAGGATCCTTCTTAAGGACCCCCAAAATAAGGTACCCCTGATTTTCGAGAACTCCCATGTAGCATAGCGGGCCTTGCATGGATGTCCGGGCAAGGCCACTGAAGCTTCTGAAGCTCGGGCACCTTACTACCCCAATAGGCAACAGAAGTAGAAGGTTAAACTTTCCGACTCCTACTAAACTAGAAGAACCCAAAAAGTTTACTGTAAAGGTTAGGAATTGGGGATCTGAGGCACCACAGCTGCAGTGGGCGGCCAAGTGATGGCATTGCCGGCGTGCGAGAACAACTCCTGACCACAAAAAATCTTCTCATACGCACGGTCCAAGTTGCAAAGACCCGTCCTGGTGCGGCGTCACTTTCAACTCTCCGAATTTCGCGGTCACATGAAGGACGTGCCAGCCAGCACGAAACACCTCATCACTGAGCTCTCGCCGCCAGGCGTTGCGCGGATCTGACTCGGCGAACAGCAGCGCTGTCGGTGGCTTCGAGAACCGCAGGGCAGCTAGGAGCGATTGGACATTCGGGACCTCCGGCGATAGCGTCCGTCTCTCGAACTGCACGCTGGTCAAGGAGCAGAAGCGAGCCAGGTCGCGTCGCGTCCACAGATTTCCGCTTGATGTGACCATCTGGGGCCGAAGATCTAGCAAAGCTTGCACTCCATGCGAGGAAAAGAACTCCATCATGTGAGCCTCTGCGAGATTTTGCCCAACCGTGAACGCGACGCAATGTAGATCGGCGCTTGTCTGGGAATCTCCCACCGGCTGGGGCGAGGACCTGCCTGCTTCCTCGCTGAACTTGCCTGCTGTGTCCACGGCTGCGACTGTCGCTTCTCCTTTGCTCCTCTCGCGACTCCATCGGTTCGGCATCCGCAAAGGCGCAGAGCGCACGCTGCGGCAAAACTGGCAAATTCCCACTGTCGAAATAATGTCTATAAAACCCTATACAATTATGCCACAATCCTGCTCAGATCTTGAGTTCAACTTCACGAGAACGCTCGGTGCTCTTGAGCCTGCAGCTCGCGACGCGAGTGGCACGGGTTGCACCAAGGGATCTAGCTGAGTGCATCATACCTACGTGGGATGAGGCAACACCTCGAGTCCGGTCTCTTCTGTTGATGTCCGAGCTCCCCAAAAGATCCAGAAACCTGACAGAGTCCTTCCGGAAGGCCCCCTTCACTTCGCAAAGACGAGGACTTGCCCTGGCCCTGGCCTCCTTCTTGCTCGAAGGGGGGCCACCTGAGTCCCAGAGGCAGCTCTGAGCTGTGATAGACTGAGTTGTCCTTTAAGCCCTTTGAAAAGTATTTACTATTCTGGTTCTCTACAAAATAGTATGAGAGATTAAAAAAGATCCCAAAGGACAACCCAGTAGAACCCGCAGAGGGTTTAGGGTTTCGGCGCTTGCACTCGGACTATCCAGGGGGAGGCATGGGGTCCCTGAGCCGGATAAGTGAGACGTGCCAGAGCAACAATCAGGAAAAAGTAGCAGCATTCTCCCGACAGCCTAATTAAGACCCTACTGAAAGGAATACCCTTCCATACACCGATGTCTCGACTAGCGAATCCCTAGACAGGATATAGACCCATCTAGGGATTTTTCCCTCCTACCTAGCAAGGACGAGGCCCGCATTGCAGCTAATTTGTGATTAGGGTTTAGGGATTTGGGGCATGAAGCTTAAAGTTACATGGCCCATCCTGGAGCTGCAGGTGTTCGGTCGTTTGGGCTTAAGACATCTGATCTGTACCCTTTTTTGTGTTGCTAGCTGCAGTCCCCCCAGCCCGCTGGTAGCTTGTTGCAAAGAAGTACACTGGTAAGGAAAAGTAGCCGCCAGTGGAAAAAGGGAATGCCTGCCTGAGTTAACGCCCTTCCAGTCTGTTGTTGGCTACAGCTACAGCACACGACTTGGAAGGATGTGTGCCCTCCTTGGCTGGTAAAACCAGAAAGTCGCCCGCAAACGGCAGCTTCGCCTCAACCAATGGCAAATCCGCGCGCCGCGATCACCGCTTGGCGGATTGCCTGCCACCTTGTCCGCCGCAGAAGACAGTGGCACATGCCACGTAACAAAGGCCCAGATGTCAGACCCGAGGAATGCCTTCATCTCTGGCACCTGCATTCTGCAAGTGCCGGTGAGATACGATCGCCCGCATGTGAAAGCGCCGGTTGCTCGCAGTCCGGGAGCACACACCTGGCCCACCACAGACGAAATGGGAGTAAGGAACCGATTGCCCCTGGCCCCTGGCCTGCATGTGAGGAGGTGGGTGAGCTGCCGGCTTCTCCCCATGCCCGTTTTGACTTGAATTATTTTAGGAAAGTATGGGCAAACGGTTCTGGGCCTGGGCCGCTTTTGGCTCCAGAAAGCTGCGAAGCACAGCACCGGCGGCATGCCAGCAACAGGCAAGTTCCTCTTCTTGGCGGCACGATGCTCGAGGCCCTTTATATGAGGGCCTGCATTAACTTAATCGTTGGAATCGTATGTCGAGGATTCTTATAGTGGAATGGTACAGGAACCACTTTGCGGCGATATTCTTGTTGTTACCAATAAGCCCTCAACCCTTAAAAAAAATTCTGATAAAGCCCCGAAGCAAAGCGCTCAGCCCTTAACCCTCAGCCATAGTTTAGAGCCCCAAATCCCCTCAACGAAGGAATATACCTTAAATTGTGCTAGGATCCCTAATGTAATTTAAGGTATGTTCCTTAATTAAGGGATATTGGGTTCTCTGGGTGGAGCCCCAAATCCCTCAACGCCTCCCAACCCGCCTGCGCGACTCGGCCGCGACGGAGCCTCCCGCACCTCCGGCGCACGGCACGGACCTCGTATTGATTTAGGGTTTAGGGTTTTGGGGTAGGTTTTAGGGTCTAGGGCTTAGGGTTTAAACTCTCGCAACTCGGACATGCCAGACGAAGGGTTGAGGGTTTAGGGTTTCGGGCTGAGGGGTCAAGGATCCTCAGCTGCTGGGAGAGGTAGTTCGGTAGTTTCCATAGGATGCAGGACTAGCATTTCGGGGATGTAACGTCGAGGAGCTCTGAGGTCCTGTACCCACGAAACAAAACTTATGAACTGCATATGATCCTGAAAGTAACCTCTATAGCAAGGCTTATAATAACACGTGCACAGCTCCTCTCTTAACCCTCAGTGTAACCCCGAGAATACTTTGTCCAAGCACTGACCACCCAATGGAGGACCACCTAGCAAGTAGGTTTACAAGCAAGGTTACCATAGTTCGACTCAGTTCTACATCCATCAGAGGTACTTAAACCCCAGCTGCTAAGTCTCTTCAATTATCAGTTGTCTCACTTATGATGAACTCCATAGAGGCACCTAAAACCCAAAGGTCGGAATAATTAGCTACATCTTGCGCTTATAGTTCCCTTATAGTATAAGCTTACCCCCAAAAGCACAGTCTAATCGATTTTGGCAGCACAATCACTCTGAGCTCAAAGCCTGTCTAATTATTAAGGCCCCGAAATTATCTGGGTGAAATCCGGAAAAAAAGCACCGCAACCACTACCGGAAAGCTCAGGACGCCACTCGCCGGCGGCCTCTGAGGTGAGTGCTGACCTGTGCAGGGTTCCGGGTACAGTTTGGTACACGTACGACAAGGGAATCTTAGGCCCTTCTGAATATCCTAAGGGATAACAGTGGGGTATTTCTGACCGGGTTTCAGAAGGCTCTTGCGGGGTGTAGGAGTTTGGCCATATTTGGAAAAGGGTCTTATTGGCCTAACGTGTTGCAAACCCTTGGACAAACGATGAAAGTTGATGAAAGCTATAACTAATAACTATAAGAAGGAACCCCCAAAAATAGTGTTGGTAATGATTTACTTGGAGGCCCTTTTGACTTAGTAAGTCTACTTAGTAATCCCCACAACCCACCTTACTAACCCTACTTACTAAGTCAAAAGGGCCTCCAAGTAAGCCCCTTGAGCTACTCTTCCAATGACCCTGAGGCGCTCTAAGGTTCTGGGCTACGGAGCGGCTTAGGCCTCAGGTTTCAGGGCTTTGTAACCTTTAGGGGTTTAGGGTTTAGGGTTTAGGGTTTAGGGGTATGCTTCTGCGTCGTTCCAGCTTTATCGGAGGATCCCGCAAAAAATTCGGATCCCAAGGTTTCGGGCTCACGGGTTTGATTTAGGGAGTTAGGGACATGGGGCTTCGGTGTGGGCGCCTCAGGATTTGGCAAGCTCCCAGAGGGCTGAAGCTGCAAACAGCTGTTTTCAAACCCATGCTCGCATCCAGCGTGAGGTTGGAGGATTGCAATACATTGTACATCCTAGGGCAGCCAAACAGCCCGGGAAAGCGGCCCTAGCCCGTACCCAGCATAGTGGGCCAGGAGTGGTTCAAAAGGCCTTGGGAGGTTCCGCCCTCCTGCGTAGCAACTGAGAGCTTCAAAGCAAGCGTGCCATTCACGCACGGAGTCTTCGCTTAGAGTCCCATAACCAAGAAATCAGGAATATCTCCAACCTGTGGGAACACCCTTAACATGACTTGTTTCCTCGCTGAATCAAGGGGTATGGGGCTCTATGGGTGGCTCTTCCGTCACGACATCATGGCCACAGCAACGTCATCTAGAAGTTCGGAATCTGCTTCCCCTCTTCCATGAGACACCCGAAGTGTGCCTCGATATCTTTCAGAAGCTTAAAGGGACGGCCTTCCGGGTCGTAATAAGTGGCGAGCGATTGACCGCATGGCAAAGGTTTTGCCTCGCCAGACCAACCTGGCAGAGCGGCGACCTTTACTCCAGTCAGGGCACCATGCCTTGTTCATGGTTGGGATAGGAATAAACATGTACATTTCTATTCCTTATTGCGTTTAAGTACCCATTAAGATGTAAAATGTTACCCAACTATGACAAAGATGCGCAGCACGAAACTTGGAGATGTATCGCTCACGTTGGAGTCTTTTCTGCTCTGGCGTCATCTTCGCCGATTCTGCTGCACCCTGGTCCTCGGACTGCTTCTGCTCTTTCAGCTCATGGTACAGCGGCATCAAGTCTTCGCCGGTATGCTCCAGATGATGTTTTAGAACTTGGGTGATGGTGCAGTAATTCAAAGAACCACCGTTTTCCTTCTGGAAGCGGAGGTATGTCTTGCCAGCCTTGGTTCCGGTTTTGTACTTCTTCTCCACTCGCACCCATCCGGCCGGCAGAAACGTCTCTGGATCCAGCTTGCCACTGCTACTGCTGCTTCGCTTCGGCGAAGACTTCTCACTGGGTCCTTTTGTGCCAGGGCCTTCGCTGGCCCCAGCCTTTGTGTTGCGGATGGCCATACTCTGCCGTGTCATCTGCTCCAGGTCTTCGCCAGTCCTGTCGCACACGAGCTTCATAAGCTCGTTGATGCTGTCAGCAGTCTCCCCGAGCTCGTTCTCGAAGAACTCGCGCCGACGCCACCCCAGCGGAAGGCCTGTGATGGGGTCCAGGACAGTTCCTTGCCTTTGAAACGAAGACTCCGTGGGAGTGGCCATGGCGTGAATTGTACGTAGGTACGTAGTTATGTAGGTAGCTTACCTTTGGTTAGTAGTAGGGAATGGAGGAATGGGGGAGAATTATAACCACTATTACTACCATTTTTCCATTCCCTACTAACCAAAGGTAAGGTAGGTAGACAAGCAGGCAGGTTTGGTTGGTGGATTGGTTGCTTGGCATATGTGTACAGTATTCTGTATACTAAACATCTTCGTATAACACCTGTAGAAGGATGCACAGGCAAATCAAAGATGAGTTGAAACCGGAACTTGACGCTCACGCTCGGCTTTGGGTATAGCCTCTGTGCTGCTAGCTGCCACTGACACTACCCACGACCCACGACTGTCAACTACCGCTAGTGTCACCACTACCACCGCCATCAACACGGCTTCTGCGCACTAAGGCCCTCCTCGCCATACCTACTTCATCCTCCCCCTATCCGCCCAGTGACCGCCCTGCATGTTGTCTGTGCCCGCGGCTTGTAGAACGCAGCCGCTGAAGCTGCGCCTGCAGGGTTTGCAAGAAACTACGAGGATCGGTTGATGCCCATGAAGTATGGAGCCCTTCCTGATAAGAATAAGACTACAGATGAGGAGATTCATGGACAAAGGAGAGTACAGAAGAGAGTTCTCTAGTGGTGCTTGCACCAGCAGCACACGAGGACGAACAACGGGAAGAATCTCATAACTCAACCACGCCTAAACGATTCCGTGCTTCGTGACGTCAGAACCCAGAGAGCCCAATACCCCTTAATTAAGGAATGTAGCTCAAATTATGATGTAAGCCATATTTCTTAATTAAGGGGTATTGGGGTCTCTGGGAAACCGACGAGCTCCGGCCTGCGCTAAGCAAGAACGGGAGAGGTCGAAGCAGAACTGGATGAACTCCACCTCTCGGGAGGCTCAAGAGCTTACCTTTGGTTAGTAGGGAATGGAAGAATGGTAGTTGTAGTAGTTATAGTTTTTTAAATTGTACCCCATTCCTCCATTCCCTACTAACGAAAGGTCAGAGAGAGGGCTCACAGGTCGATGCAAGCTTTGAACCCTTCTTACTACTGGGCTCCTCGAAGATACGTCTTTTTGCAGCTGGGCTCTTAGCGTCAGCCAGCGAGTCCGCCACAATACACTTTAAACCCTTAGCCCTTTTTTGAGTAATGAGGGACTGCAATGCACCAAGCCCTGGACGCCCCTGTGCATCCAGGCCTGTTGCGACTGCCGGGTAACCCTGAAGAAAAGACATCCGCCTAAACCCTAAATTCCTTAACCCTTTGCGCCGAACCAGAACCACAGGGTTTAGATCAACAAGGCTTATATGAAAGGAACCCAAAATCTCATTTTTGTATGTGGTTGGCTTTATTTGTGTTTAAAAGTGTTTTTTTGTATTTAAAAGTATTGTTTTGTATTTAAAAGTTTTTTAAATAGGTTTTTTTGTGTTTTACAGTTGTTAAAATTCTTTTATTTTATTTTTGGTGTAAAAAATACATGTTTGTGAATTTTGTTTCTGAGTGAGTCAATTGGCTTCCTGTTGTTCTACCTGGTTTCCTGCTGCTGTATGTCTACAAAATTGTTGTTTATTTGTTGTTGAAGTTAATAATTTTTAAAATTTAATCTTTTTAAATAGTTTTGGGTTGTGATTGAACAAAGAAGGGAGGCCGTAGTGACATGTTGACTTGCCTTGAGACCTTGCCCTTACCCACACGGATCGACTGCCCATCTCGGTTCGTGGACACCGTTGGCCGGGTGTCAGGTGCTGAGTCGATGGTACCTGGACCGCCTTGGGGCCAACGTGCCAGGGCAGTGGCATATGACACCCGGGCACATGGGCTAAAGTGCCGGGTGGGGTGGTCCAGTGGTTGCGGCTTGATTTGTTCTCCCAACCAGGAGGGGAGGCCATCCATGCTTGTCACGTTAGTTAGGGAGCCTTGCGACTTGGATCGACAGAGGCAGAGTGCCACCTTACCCACACGGATCGACTGCCCATCTCGGTTCGTGGACACCGTTGGCCGGGTGTCAGGTGTTGTCGATGGTACCTGGACCGCCTTGGGGCCAACGTGCCAGGGCAGTGGCATATGACACCCGGGCACATGGGCTAAAGTGCCGGGTGGGGTGGTCCAGTGGTTGTGGCTTTTTTATTTTTCTCCCAACCAGGAGGGGAGGCCATCCATGCTTGTCACGTTAGTTAGGGAGCCTTGCGACTTGGATCGACAGAGGCAGAGTGCCAGTCGAGCCTCTCGAGGTTGCCTTACTTAAGTCCCTGCCCCATCGGGGTTGCTCCCCACACCGTTGGCCAGGTCTAAGTGTTCGGTTTGAATCCAAGCCTAGTGAACGCCTTCTCTTCCATTTCCTTCTCTCCCATCGGTCTTCATCGGCTTCCAGCCCATCGAGAAGTGGATGCCAACTGCTGGGATCTCAGCATCAGCTTGCTTCAGCTACTTCCATTATTATGGTACAGTCCTGGCACCGAGGCTCATGACGAGGATCCCGAGGACATGCTGCCATCGCAGAGGACAAGCTGCCTTGCATAGTCAGTGAGCGTGTCATGTATCGCAACTTGCCGCTGCAGCAGTTGTGCTCGCTGTTGCCCTGCGTAATCTACTATAGTCGTGTTACAGCTGCTCTGTCTCTAGTCTAAGTCGTAGTAGGCCCCCCTGCAAGCCGGCAGATGTCGTCGATGTCGTGGAGTGACAGTGAGTCTGTGGGCTCGGACTGGGTTCTGGTTGACGATGAGGGTGCAAGTACTGCGGGCTCGGTCGCGGACAGTGCTGACGACGATGATTATGTGATTCCGTTCGACGAGATGCTAGAGGAGTCCTTTTCGACATTGTGGATGTTTCTGGATTCTAAAGAGCGTGGGCAAGTCTTTCGAGCAGCCTTCCATATCAATGAACAGATCATGTTCGTACTGTTTCCGAGACTTTTGCGGGATTTTAGGCAAGGCAGAGTGCCAGGAATTTTATATTTCAATGTGACAGACGAATGGCTGTCGTCACTGAATCAATGATTTGTCGTGTTTGTACAGCCTCCGCGACAGTATCACGGATCTTGGGGAAGGCAGAGTGCCGGGTTTGCGTGTGTTTAGGGGATTTTGAATTCGACGATCTAGCCAGCAGAGCTAGACTGTCCGATTTGAGACCTCAGCGGTAGTGTGCGCAACTTGGATTCAAAACGGTTACCCAGCATGACATGCTGACTACACAGTGCCGGGTGGCAGTGATGTCCTCAGGACCCTGCTGTCTCCGAGGCTGGCTGCCTGCCTGCATAGTCTGTCAGTGAGTTGACTTGCACCATACATGATCGACATCTGCCGGCCAGAGAATCAAGCGATTCATGCATACTGATGTAACAGTAGTAACAAAATGTTACATATCATTGATTAATGTACTATATAGTGATGCATTAGTCACTGTTAATGTTTTAATCGTTGGACAATTGTGTGCTCGATGAAAGCAGTGATGCCGACGACCTGCTCTGTCTCTAGTCTAAGTCGTAGTAGGCCCCCCTGCAAGCCGGCAGATGTCGTCGATGTCGTGCAGTGACAGTGAGTCTCTGGACTCGGACTGGATTCTGGTTGCCGATGAGCGTGCAAGCACTGTGGCCTCGATCATGGACAGTGACTACGATGATTATGTGATTTATTTCGACGCGCTGCTAGAGGAGTCCTTTTCGACATTGTGGTTCTTTCTGAATTCTGAAGAGCGTGGGCATGTCTTGCAAGTAGACTGGCATATCAATGATATGATCCTGCACGTACTCTTTCCGAGATTTATGCAGGATTACAGTGAAGGCAGAGTGCCAGGAATTTTATATTACAATGACGTGCGAGACGAAGCTCTGTCGTCAATGATGAATCAGTGATTCATCGTGTTTGTACAGCCTCCGAGACCGCATTACGGATGTTGGGGAAGGCAGAGTGCCGGGTTTGCGTGTGCTTAGAGGATTTTGAATTCGACGATCTAGCCAGCAGAGCTAGACTGTCCGATTGGAGACCTCAGCGGTAGTGTGCGCAACTTGGATTCCAAAAGGTTACCCAGCATGACATGCTGACTACACAGTGCCGGGTGGCAGTGACGTCCTCAGGACCCTGCTGTCTCCGAGGCTGGCTGCCTGCCTGCCTGCCTGCATAGTCTGTCAGTGAGTTGCCTTGCACCATACATGATCGACATCTGCCGGCCAGATAATCAAGTGATTCATTCATACTGATGTAACAGTAGTAACACAATGTTACATATCATTGGTTAATGTACTGTATAGTGATGCATTAGTCACTGTTAATGTTTTAATCGTTGGACAATTGGGTGCTCGATGAAAGCAGTGATGCCGACGACCGTTTCAAGGTGCTCAGGGAGTTCCGAGGCAGAGTGCCAGACTTCTGCTGCTGACCATCAGAATCAGGCCAATCACATTGACCTTGGCAGTGATTACTGGAACGAAGCCGTGCAACAACTTCGGTGGAATTGTTTACACTGTGGCAGATCAGCTGCCGACTATACCACCGGGCTCCGAAAGATCCAAAGGGCTGCACAATTGGATCAACGAATCAAATTGGCAGTTGAGGCCATCTCAGATTTCGGAGATATGGATATGAAGTTGTACAAAGCATGGACCGGCCAGACAGATGTGCTGCCTGGGTCGATCCCGCCACCTCGGCCATGCCAGCATGATGTCGAGACGTGGCCCATGGATGATGTTTTGATTTACGACCATCCCCAGTGGCAACTGTTTGTTGGCAGTATTGGTTGCCCGATCCGATATGACCAGCTCCGGGTCAAGCCTGACATTGTCATCTCTATGAATGCAGATGACAGACCTCGGAATTTTGAGCCATGGGACTGGTATCAGTATTTGGCGAATTGTGGACCGTTTGGCACTGCACATCTTCGGTATGGTGGCTGGGATCAAACACATGCCAATGACTTTGATGCTGAACAAAGAAGTCATGAGTTCAAGACCATTTGGCGCCGCCTCATTTCAGATTTCAGAAAGATTATGATGTGCTGGCA